ATCCTCTTACACAGTATTAACCTCTTTAAATAACAACAGCAGTACAAAAAACTTTAACAAATTACCTGAGTCACAAAAAATGGAATGCTGGATCATCTAAAACATGGCCCTGTTCTGTCTGCTGTGCTGAATGCAATCACACCTCCCAGGATGGAAGATTTCCCATCAGTGGGAATTACTGCCCCTAATGAAGAATGGCTGTTCAATAAGCAGGACAGAATCCACAGGATCAGCAAATGCTTTCAAGGTGACTCTTTCTGCACAGGAAAGCTATCCAGGGGTTTGGGATCTCCTGCTCATCATGAGATAACAAAAGGAATGTGCTGGGCATGAGGCTCACTGATAAAGCATCGGGAGAAATCCTGTTCACCAGGAAACTCCTGAACCCTAAAGGATTCCATGAGGAGATGCAGCTGGAGTGGGCAGCAGCAGCTGCAGTGCCTTGGAGCAATCTTCACCCCTGATGGATGATTTTAGAGGAGGTATAATTTTCATAAGTTCAATACAAGCTATTTGAGCCTTTTTAATAAATAAGTCAGGCTAAAGGCAATTCCCCAAACACTGTGGAATTAATGATTTATCAATCTTAGAAATAGAAACTCTGAACAGAGACAGCTGCATTATTCTGGCTTCACAACACACACAAGGTTTTCAAAACTTGAAATGTGCATCCAAGGTCACTCTGCCGGAGTGTGAGGGGAAAACGTGATTCAGCCTTGCAGCTCCAAACCCCATCCCTTCAACAATTAGCATCACTCCTTGATGAACATGCAAGCCCCTGTGCCAGTTTCTGTGTTTACACAATCCCACAGCAGAAACACCTCAGAGCACCAAAGAAATCAGGCAGGTCTGGCTCTGAAAACCCTCCCTGCTGAGACTGTTTAAAGGCATTCCACCACCCAGGGAATAAACTCACTGTGCAAACAGAGGTCCCTGTATTATGGCAGCTGGGCAACCCCACACAGCCCCACTGCTGCTGCTCCCTCATGGCACCCCAACCTTGCCTTCCCAAGCTTTGGCATCCCAAACAGGGCAGCCTCAGGAGCTGAGCAGTTCTGGGGGTGTGAATGGGAGCAGGAGTGATGGAGGGACTGTAAAACCCAGCAGTGCAAGGCTTTGGGTCAGGGGAGAGAAAGGCTGGGAGCAGATAAATGAGCATCCACAGGAGAATTGCACTGAGGGCACTGACCTGAGCAGGCTCTTCAGAAATGCCTTTTCTGCACAACTAAAGGTGTTCAATGAACTCTTCAAAAACACCTCCTATTGCACTAATTAAAGATGTAGCAACCTCTGCCTCCCAGAAATATTTAAAGCTTTTCTGGTTTACATTCCAGTGTGTGGAGGGCGCCCCTGCAGCACACCAGTTGTTTTATTTATATGTTACAAAATAGTCAAGAATTCTGAGCATAACTTCCAAAAGAGGTGAAAAAACAGCCTTTTACATAATGACTCTTAGATACAAGCCCAGGCTGCTGGAGCCATCAGCAACATGGGAGTCACACACCCCTTAGGAAATGCTGCCTCAGATAACATAGACATGAAAAATTGGTCACACCCATAAAATGGAAGTCTGAAATATTTCACTACTAAATAAGTCCATTTATAAACATTTTTTTCAGAGTAGACTTTGGCAATAAATAAGCCATTCTGATTTAACTGCTAATTTTGTAGCATGAATATACTGAGACCAACCTGGATCTCAGTGACTGTGACACTCATTGCTGTCACCTCTGTCATCCTATTACACACAAATATTTTTGTTCATTCTCACTTTTACTTTCTCAAATATCTTATATTTCTCTTTTCAGATATTTAAAACTACTTATCCTCTTGCATTTGCAACTTCGATTCATAAAATTTTTATTTAACTTACTTTTTACAAACTTTTTCTTTCCAAGGACAGCTTAAGTTCCACTCTGAACTCTGCAAATTGCAACCATTTACTGCACAATGTACATTAAAGGTAAAGCTGTTTGGAAACAGAATTCTCATGTCTGACACACACATTCCAAGGATAAGCATCACCAGAAGTTTGAACTTTGTTCAGATATTTGTGTTAAAAGATTTCAGCAGCCACACAATTTTGTTTAAATGTAAACATTCACTCTGTTCCCAATTATCTGCTTTGCTATCATCTGCCATCAGACTGCCACTAAAACAATCACTTATCTCTTGTACAATTACTCTGCTTTTTCCTCTGGTCAATGCAGATGACTTTTTCCCCAGCTGCAGTCCTGAACCTATCCTTAAGTTACACTCCAAGTTTTAGAGTGTTTGGAGCATCAGAATTTCCTTTTCAACCTCATGTGCTACCCTTTAAACTGTCTGCAATAACCAGAATACACAGGTTTTGTTGATGCAGATAAACTCCAAGCACTCAGAGGTTTATCAATATTCAGAGAAACAGCCCAACTTCCCAGTCACATCACAAAGTTTCTGTGGTGAATGACCTGAGGTGCTTTATTGTTGGATAACCAAGGATAAGGAGCCAGACAAATGCACCAGGTTTGACTCAGGCAGCTCCTAAAAGGCAGCAAACACTGTCAGAGGTGCCTAGTATGTGACATGGGACATAGAGGAGACTCACAGCCCTCTGAAGCAGTGACAAAGGCCAGGAGAGGAGCCCTGAGGCATCTCCAGTAACACCCAACGCCTCTTTGGGGAAGCCAAACCAACCCCAACCCACTGGTTATGATAGGTCTCCATTCAGCCTCCTCCCTGCACTCCTCCAAACCAAACCCATCAAGGTCACAGCACCACAGGACACCATATAAATGTCCCCATTATCTCCCTATGGAGCTTGGCAAACCCAATAAAAATTTACTCAGAATGATCAGGAAACAGGCAATTGAATGGTTAAAGAATAAGGTTGGGATAATGTTGCAGCAGAGATGGCCACAATACACAGAGTATCCCCAAAAAAACTCAGAAAGTTTCAACCCAAACAGACTAGCAGCTCACCACTTCAGAAGGCTTCAGGGGTCTGCCCACACACAGTAACATCATTCCACTTCAGAAGGCTGCAAGTAACTGCCCCGCTTGTTCTTAGCCCAGCCTTTTATCCCCTCGTGTTAAAGCATTGCACCTGTGTGCCCTCTGCTCCCTTCCCTGGTTGGGCAGTGCCCCTGGCTCGTTACCTTCAATGCTGCTCACCTGCTGCTCACAGCTGTGCCCATTGGGGTGAGGATGGGTCACAGCCACAGCTGCAGCCCATTGAGGATGAGGATGGGGCACAGCCCCACTCCCAATCACCCCAAACTGTGTTCCTACAGGACAGAGAGACGTGCCAGACATTTGGATCAATATCACACCCAACAGCCTGGATAATCAAGGGGTTGTGGTCCTGGATTTACAGCATGTGGGCAAAGGACAGTGCTGGTGATGGTATCAAATAGGAATTCAAGGTAACAGAATACCCTGCCTTCATTCCACAAAGTGTTAAAGTGACTATGTTAATATTGACACTAAACTGAGCATTTAATCCATATTATTTTGCTTTAGGAAGAGCTTGCAGCAATGCTCACTTTGAAAACGGAGCTTAACGTCAGACCATGAAGTCACTGCAGAGAATGCTGAGCTGCTTTCTTAGCAAGATACCACAGACAAACCACTTCTTCTCCACAGAAAAGTCGTGAAAATGCTGAATCCTGTTTGAGTCAGCACATGAAAATCAGTCCCATGTAGGTGAGGGGACAGGGTCAGAAGCAAAGTGCTGCTGAGAACACGACAGTGTGTGTGTGTGCAGAGCCGCTCAAAGCACTGCTTACGTAACCAGGGCTCGCAGCATCTACAGCCACACTCAGAATTCCTTAAAAGATTCCCTTTTACTCTTGGGGAGTTGAGTTACAGCACTATCAACTTTCACACAGGTTAAAAACTTACATTTTAGCTTATTTTGGGAGCAGTTAAGCCCTACTCTACGTTGCTCTCAGCTTGCCTATCTTCCCAGCACCTTATCTTGGTACCCATGCTTCTCAAATAGCACTTTACTACAAAATACGCTTTAATTAAAGAGAAAGTAAAGAAAGTATTAGCACAGAATCGGGTTGGTGTAATGCGATAAAACTGAACAGTAAGATGGAAAAAAAAAAAAACACGAGAGAAAAGAATCAGCAAGAAATACACAGAAAGAAATAAACTTTAGGACAGTTTAATTCAGCAAACGAGAGATTTTCTCCGCCTACAATACAGGAGGCCTTTCAAAGGTACAGAACGGAGACAGTGCCCCTCCTTTCACGTTTCCAGTACAGTCTCCACACCAGGATTTCAGCAGAGGAGCCCATTCTGTCGGGTGGCGGTAGGAAAGCACATCCTGACGGCATCCGTGCCCAGGTGGAGGCGGCCGGGGCTGCAGCGGCCACCCCAGCCCGCATCCCGGGCACCTGGGCGGGCAAAGTTCCCTCCCGCCGCCTTCTCCTCGGGCTTCCAGCGGCTCCAGACGCTCCGCTGGAGTACTGCGAGGCTTTGGAAACTACTGCTTGCGAAACATTTAAATCCCCCCGTGGAAAAGAAGAAGAAAAACCCAAAAAGCCCCAGCGCGGCCGCAGCGGAGCTCAGCAGCACGGCAGGAGCTGGGCGCTCCCGGGAGGGTTTCTCCTTCCATCACCCCGCCGGGGAGCGGGGCTGCGGGCAAACACCTCATTATGACTCTCTCCAATTAATATTTCTGTGAGCGGCGGCGGGGGCAGCGCGGGGCTCCACGGCCGCCTCCCAGCCCCCGCCCGGGGCACAGCGCGGCCACCGCCGCCTCCCGACCCGCTCCCGTCTCTAAGAGCCCTCCGGGCTCGGTCAGGACGGAGAGCAGAGGCTTCCCGCAGCCGCTGCCCGGCCCGCCCGCCCCGCGGAGCCGCCTCCATCCCCGCCCGAGCGCATCCTGCGGCCGCATCCCGGTACCCCGGCCCCGCTGTGCCGGGATGGGCTCGGCCCCGGCCCCGCTCCCGCCGCCCCCTCAAGGTCACCGCGGCTCGGGGCAGCCCCGGGGGCGCCGCTGCCGCTCCTACCTGGGCCGGCGAGCGGAGCGGAGCCGCCGGGAGCGCGGGGCCGGCGCTGTCCCCTCACCGGCGGCAGCGCCCGGGGACTCGGGCCGCGCACGGCGCCTCCTCCTGCGCCGGGGCCGCTGCGCTGCGCCGGGAGGCGGCGGCTCCGTCACACTTAGCGGGGAAGCCCCGGGGGGGGCGGGCAGCGCCGCTCTCTCCCCACCCCGCGAGGTGCCGGAGCCGAGCCGAGCCTCCCCCGGCGGGGCTGGGGCTCCCCTCAGCGGGGAGAGGCTGCGCCGCGCCCCGCTCCGCTCCGCAGGGCTCCCTCAGAGCTCCGCAGGGCTCCCTCAGGGCTCTGCAGGTGCGCGGCCGCTCCGCGGGCTCGGGGGATGCGCGCAGGTGAGCGCGGCTCTGGGGCGCCCCGCGTCTGTTCAGCACCGAGCGTTTGACACCAGCACCTTCCTCTCGCTTTTATTTTTGCTCAACACGCGGCGGTTTTCTGACAGAATTCTGCAAAAACCTCAAGGGGAAAGCCTGGCGCGGATTCTGAGAGATGGAGAGTGCCGCCCTGGGACGCAGCACCTGGGGAAGTACAAAAAATGGGATTGTGATGTACGGGTGATGTGCATTGCACAGACTGAGCATCAGCACTCCAGATTTAGAAAATTAGTAATAAAACCCCACCCCGTGACTTAGATTTGAAGATACTAGTTCTGTTTGCAAAGAGGATGGCATCTTTGAAATGCTGCCAGAGGAGTTAATGCCGGGTATTTAACCAACACGTTCTGGTTTTACACATGGGCTTAAGTTAGATTTCATAACAGTTCTCTTGTGCCACATAATCTTTTCACCTTGACAGTTAAAACCAGTTACCAAATGCCCCCAAAGCTGAACAGAGACAGAGGGGATTTTGAAGAGCAGAAATGTGTATTTGGTAGGTGGGGTGGGGGTTGTGTGGTGTGAGGGATGCACACACATCACACAGCACCTGCAGACTGCTACAGTGAACAACACCAGCATTTTACTTGGAAAACTGGAAGTATTCCACCACTTTCTATTGGTGAATAGCAGCGCTGCCCAGCCCTGGTTGTTTGACAGATGATACACTGTTAATTATATTCTGATTACTATCTTGGCTTCTTCCTTAACACCATTTAAATTCCAGTTTTAACCTTATCTCAGCAAGGACTAAAGGGAAAAGTAGGACAGGCAACATGAAAGTAAAAATCCCTCCACATCTTTTAAAATTCTTTCAAACGTATTGAAAGCCAGGAGAAGATGTTACAGTATATTTGTAGGGCTTTCAGACAAGCTTGTTAACAAAATCCAGACTTGTAGGTCTCACCAAGTTCAGTTCCCAGCTTTGGAAGAAAATCAGAAACCTGTAAGTATTCTGCAAATATCTAGATTGGTTTTCTCATCTGATCTTAAACCACATGTCTACTGTCAAGTAAGAGTGAACGAGGGAGGGAGTTTTCCCCTGCTACATTTCCCGGGGTCATGAGGAAGATCAAACCAACTGAGAAAAACTAATCAAGCAGCAGTTTTTTTGTTTTGACAATGCTTAGAAAGATGGCAGAGAAAGCCTGAATGAAAAGTTTACAAAAATAATCATGCAAACATTAGGTAAATGCAGTGCTATTTTCAGCTCGTGCTTATTAATCATTTAAAGCAGATGATTGGAGTGCCATTTGAAAAGCATTAGATGTGCATCCTTACTAGCTGCCTGCAAATGCATTTCACTGGCAATTCTGTGCTGCACAAAAACATGACATCCCCCAGACTGTTTTCACAGAAATCCTGAATTCCACACCCAGCTCCACCTGTTAAACCCCCAGGCTCCCAGTGCAGAGCTCAGGGTTGAAATCTCCCACAGGAGGACAGACTCCATCATGTGATTCTCGCATCAGAGCATCCTCAGCAGGTCAGCTACTGCAGCTGGAATTAATAACACCAGCAGCACAACAAATGATTGCTTTCCTTGCTTCCTCTCCATCTTGAGATGTTTTTAGCCCCCACAACTGATTTTGTCAATCATGGTGAAATAGCAGAAGTGTCTGGCTGTTTATCACTGCTGATAAGCAATGAAGGACAGAGCAGATTTCTTCATTTCAACATCTCCTGCCTATGGAAATCTCTCCTCACACAGACAGTGAAGTAGAATTTTGTACATTTCTGCCAGCTTTAGAAGCTGTCCCCATGTGTTTTATAAACATGACAGGGGTCTCAGCACATCTTTCCTGTTACTACAGCATTTCTAGGAACTCAACCTCTTGCATACAGGTTTTAAAAACACTTAAAGTGTGATGTTAACAGTAACAACATCAACTAATGACTAAATGTAACACTTCTTATTATATTTTAGAGATTAGGACTGTTTGTGTTGTGTTTTTCCCTAAACTCCTTGCACCTCCTCTCGCCTAAGGTGATGCTTAGAGATTCCTTTAAATTCTTCTCATTTTCCTGGTTAAGTGGGGAATGTGTGCATAGTGGGGGTCATCTCCTTCACCAAAAGAACGTAAAGGAGCAGAGATCATGCAATCACTAAACTCTGGCACTGTGCTTGCCTCAAGTTTGAATAACCTAACAGTGATAACAGTAATAACCTCAGACAGCTCTTCTCAGGTTTTAGCTTCACATCATTTTCACAACCTGCAGCTTAATTTCCACACCAACAAAACGGGAGAGGATTTTCAAGGAAATTTCAGAAAGGAAGTGACAATGGGTGCCAGTTCAGCTTGGATTTTGGATCTATTACATTAGAATGGAGCAGCTATTTGTATTTCAGCCTCCTTTGGGAAATTTCTACAACTAGATGTGTGCGTGAAAGGACACAACTGTGATGTCTGGATACCACATATAAACAGAGCATCCTCCATCCCATGAGCCCTCCTGCACTCACAGTTTATCTTTGAACTGCTGCTGGTGCCAAGAGGCAGCACTGAGAATGAAAGGGAAGAGCACTGAATCTGCCAAAAACAGCAATTTGTGCATCAAGAGAGCGAAGTGCAGCCCTGAAAGCTGTGCTCACCCTTCAGGCACAGAGGTGCTGCCTCCAGGAGTGGTGACCCAGCCCTGAGTGAAACACGAGCAGCAGGGAGGACATTTGGGGCGCCCACACTGCACTCCCAGCCACCAAACTGGAGCTTTTCCAACAAATTGGGACATTTCATTGGGGCTTTTCCAACAAATTGGGACATTTCATGACCAGAATGTTCAGGCCCAGCCATGGCTTCTATTGAGGAAAAACTCCCATGGTATCAAATGCCACCAAAGCGTGGCACGAGTCCAGCATCTGATAGAGTAGAAAATGTATCCCTGTGAATCGCCAGTGAGATCTCCTGCAGTAATTTCACACCCTCACACCAGCCTGCCAGTGAAAAGCCAAGCAGCCCTAAATATCTGCTGGTTTTGAGAGCCAAAGTAATGCCAGACAAAGGCTGTGTCAGTGAAACACTCTGTGATACTGCCATGATGTCTTGTAGCAACCAGCGTGAGGAAACTGATTTTTGCATTTAATGTTTCAACAGGAGAAGATAACAAAAACATGGCCTCTGCTTTGTTTGGAAAAAATACAGCTTGACCAGAGGATTATTAGGTATACTGGGATATTCTGGATCCATTCTTTTGCTGTTCTAATTCAGTATCAAAGCAAAAAGGGTCAAGTGCAAAGGGCACATTTTGTTTGCACTCACATGAAATGACCTTGCTGTGGCCCAGCTCCAGCCCCACAAAAAGCAGAGACATTTCCACTTCCACCTGATGCTCAGCAATTCCTCAGGTCACACACAGAGCTCCCAGGCTCCTGGTACTGCTGACTCTGCCAGAAATAAAACTGACTAGAAGTTACCAATGGATTTCTCTATCAGTGCTAACAAACATCAAAACAAATCTGGGGCTTGCCTGGCAGAAGAAATTCTCAAGCTTTAATTTGTTAAACATGACATAAAGTTGATGATCTTGCAACCAAAAGCAGGAACAGCATAAAAGGCCATTTTCTCCCACATTTAGAACTCAATGGATGGAGGTGTCCACAACACCTTTATTCTAAAAAAAAAAAAAATTAAAATTAAATTTAAAATCTCCCTCATTTAGAACTCAATGGATGAAGGTGTCCACAACACCTTTACTCTAAACTTTTTAAAATTAAATTTAAAACCCTGACCATTCCACCTGAAGCCATCACAACAAAAGAATCAGAAAAAATCTGGTGGATAATGACAACATGATATTATAATTATATATTTTCTGAAAGGGCCAAAAATTAGTTTTGCCAGATGCATAATCTGACTTGGTTTGTCATAATCTGCTAATTATATGTATATAAAAGGGGACAGGATAACATTTTTGACCCCTGCACTCTCTAGCAGTCACACAGTTCTTTTACATACAGAGGGTAAATTGTGCAAAAGAGCTTTTTGCAATATCCAAACCTTTCTGCCACACACCTGGACAATCCTCTTAAGTGATGCAGCAAGACTGCTGTAAAAAAATCCCAAATTTTATATACCACTCATCCCACAGGTTATTGTGAGAAATCAGCTGGTAACAGTAAAAGCTTTAGTAAGGATGACATTGCTTTGAGAACAACTTAGATATTTTGTTTTATTTATTTATTAACATTGAAGTACACAAGGGAAAATGGTCAAGTGTTAAAAACTCTGAAAACACTGAGAGGTAAAAGATGGTGAATTACCAAATGTTAAGTTATAGCACTGCTATTTTACAGTAAAGAACAGAAAAGACAACTTCAAATTGCATAATAATCACAAATAATCTCAAACATGTTCCTCTCTTTTTGATTTTTCTATCAAAAAAAATACTTTTACTTTCTTTTCCAAGAAAAACCCTGATTGACTGAAATAGACACCAGTTTGCAAAATTAGTGCAAGTACCAAAGATCCTGGAAGTGGCAGAGCATTAAATCCTTGGACATGGGATGTAGGGCATTTCAGAAGCAAGAGAAAAATCAAATTTAAAAAAAACAAAGCAGCGAAAACAAAGCAGCAACTAAAGGTCAGTGCTGGAAAACCTGCTGAGTATTGGCAAATTTGTCTCAACATTCCTATAAATTTACAAATCAGTCCTTGCTTTCTACAGCAGCTTCC